TTGACAACGGTACAAGAATCTGTATCGAAACGTCGCACTCACGAATAAAAAGAAGTTGTTATCCATAAAGTTTGTTCTATATTGTACTTCCCAACTTCTAAAATGCCACTCAAAGAAATTTCATTCCTGCATAGCTCAACTATCTAATGTTTCTGGGCCATAGATTTGCATAACAACGAACGGATACATTCTCCGTTTAGCTCCAGGATCCAGCTATCCAACGACATGCAGCATGCGCGTGTAAGGCTATTTATGCTGCTCCAAAGGGAGCCGTGCTGAAATAGGTGATCCAATCTCAGTTGTACTGTGGCAAGTTCATTGTGACACACATTTACAAATAAGTATTTACTTTGGACACTTTGGATATATACTGAGTCAAAAAAGAAACTTCACAAAATGTAATTTGAAAAATAATGAATATTTTTTCTCTGATGATACATCTATGTGTCCGAAATGGGATCCCAAGCTTTCGATTCTAGAAAAACGTTAGCAAAACCCACTCAAACCCATCCATTCGTCGTGCAAATGACGTTAGTGCCAAATCAGGTTTTTCACGTGCAGTCGATCACGTGATCTTCGCATCGAAGTTTTCCTCATATGCACGTGTTTGCATTGGCCTCAAGAATTAAAAAAACACTTTTAAACCCCAGTTCTAACGGTACTTGAAATGCCACGATTGTCTAATGTGCAACGTGAACGTGCCGTTGGCATGTTGCAAGCCGGAAGATCAGTTATTGACATCGCAAGAGCAATGGGATGCAGCCGTCGTACTGTGTATGTATTGCGAGGTCGTCTACATCAAACTGGCACCACTTCTGATCGCCCAAGGTCGGGTCGTCCACGTGTGACGTCACGAGCAGAAGAACGTCAAATCGTCCTACATCACCTACGTGACAGATTTCTGCCGGCTACATGAACCAGGGCTGAGATGTTTAGAGGTCGACTGTCCTCACAGACCATTCGAAATCGGTTGCGGGCTGCCAATCTCCATTCTCGACGTCCATATCGTGGGCCAATATTGACGCCGTTTCATCAACGTCAACGTCTGCTGTGGGCCCAACGTCACCTCCGATGGACCCAGAGAGACTGGAACCGAGTCGTCTTTAGCGATGAATCCAGGTTTACCCTCAGATTCGCAGACAGCAGGCATAGAGTCTGGAGACGACGTCGTGAACGGTATGCCCAATGTTGTGTACAGGAAGTCGACAGATTCGGGGGCGGAAGTTGCATAGTGTGGGGTGCTTTCTGTGGGAACAACCGTTCCCGACTTCTGGTCATCTGTGGAAACCTCACAGCTGCTGCTTACCGCGACCAGATGCTCACCCCTGAACTCGTTCCTTTCATGGCGGCTCATGGCCCAGGTCTACAGTTCCAGCATGATAATGCTAGGCCGCATACCGCGATGTTGACACGAAATTTCCTTCAAAATGCTGGAATCAACGTCATGGACTGGCCATCGAGGTCCCCTGACCTTAATGCAAAAGAATACGTTTGGGATGCACTTGGGAGAAGGCTTCGTGGTCTTAGGAACCAGCCTCAGAATTTTCAGGAACTTGGCGCTGCCTTGCAAGAGCAATGGCGCAGAATCCCCAACCACGTGTTCACAAGCATCAGGCAGTCGATGAGGAGACGGTGTTTGGCAGTGGTGAATGCGCTGGGGCGGCCATACACGATATTGAACTGAGAAATTTGGCATTTTAATTCCCGGACTTGACATTCTGTATACCCATGTTTTGGAACGGCGGTGTAGCCTAATGGAACTGATTATGGCACTGTCAGTGTATCGAGTACATCACACAGATCTCAGCAATGAAATAATAACAATTTAACCATCTTACGATCTCGTGTTCTTTTATAGTGCCCTGAAGAAAGAATGTGAAGTTTCTTTTTTGACTCAGTATATTTATTTTATGATCAACCATGATATTTATTTAGTAGAAATTAATCACCAGAGCACACTCAGTGTAGGGAACTCTTCTTACAGTAGCTGGGGCATCCGTGTCCCAGGACACAATTTTTTCTTGTTATTTTTGTGTTTGTAATAGTGTGCGATGTATAGTTTCTTTTGAGCACAGGTTTAAATTGATGATCTTGCCGCTTGGGGTTAAAGACTACACGAGCAGAGGCTGCCTACTCTAAGTCCGCGGTTTCTCGCGTTTTGTATTTTAGCTGATGCTATTGTTCCTTTCGGAGAAACTATAAGTCTGTGACGTAGCGAAGTACATAAGAATCACGTGTTTACATTCACTCCCAATTTGAAGAAACCGAAATAAGCCGCAGAATGAAAAAAAATACTCAGGAAGCGTTTATTTTATCATGGCTTCAAACTGCAATGCGCACGTACATTAACCCCTCCAATCCCCCAGCCCATCCCCCCCAAAAAGCACACACACAAAACCAAAACAAAACAAAACAAAACATAAACAAATCCAATGAAGCACTGGTTCTATTCTCTGACTCAATCACTGTGCGGAATAACAGCTTTTGTCCAATCAATGTGTTTATAAAAGTCTCAGCAATTTTGAATATTTATAAGCTAATGCCTAGTGTGCGTCTTGCGTCACGAAGTATCACACCTAATGTCGTAGTGTCAAGTTGATTGTGATGTTAATTGAAAATAAAAAATAAAAGAAGATAAAAAACTACCGCAAAATCCACCCCCAAAATACCAACAAAACATGGTAATTGTTATCAAATTAAAGATGTGGTGTTTTGTCGTTGGTAAAATGCTTTTTCCGCATTTCAAACAATTAGGTCGCGTCGTGTCCTTCCTGAGATATATTCTCTTCTTGCAATGATATATATCAGTACAACATGCCTGATAAAATCAGCAGAATTCTGCTTCGGATGTAATACTTGACATATAAAGACAAGTTTGAAGTTCATAATTACGCCAACCTGCATTCGGGAATATATTGACATGCGACTTTGGAGTTGACACTGTGTTTGTTTTGAGAAGAAATTGTGTGACATTTATGTAAAGGAACATTAAGATATTATGCATGGTAAATAGTATAGTCAAACACTGAATACGCCTGTTTTACTTTCATAAGACCCAACTGTTCCCCCGAAACCTCCGCGGAAACCAATGCTCGAAGACGAAGTATCTGCTAATGATGGTAGGTATTGTTTCGTATCATAAAATGAAAATGTATGCAAAACTTGGTGTAAGGTTTTGTGGCAGAAATTAAATATTGTTTAACTTATGCTAAACGTGCACGTTTCATACATATGAATTGGTGCAAACATCAATATTTCCCAATTTTCTACACAGCGGCAAAATTGCTGATGCAATATACATGTTAAGCATATATTCACTCTCTAACTGGTTTCGTTATTGTTTCCAGGAATGAATTTTGATGAGGAACTTAAGGCGTTGGATACGAAAGAAGGCAAGTAAACCATATGCACCGAAATTAGCCAAGCTGAATGTTTCTTACTTAGAAATCAAGCAAAATCTTTGAGTCCTGTAAGACTAATAAGTGTAGAAAAATCAAAACGGAGGTTAATATCTTGAACAAAGATTCAAGTCGATACCATGATATATGCTCAACAAAATGAGAAACTTAACACCCACATTATTTGAAATAATTGTGACAGGGTATATGCTTTTAGTTTTGTGTTGTCCCATACACACGACAATGACATGTAGGCTGCTTGAATATGATCTTGGCGATTGTCGTGTACAATTTGGTCATAAAGTGTGAAAAACAACCGGTGAAACACAGAGATCACGTGCAGCGAGTCACGTGAACACCTTAACGCTCACATGCACATTAGAATGCAACCGCATAGGCATTGCTAAACAGGAAAAAGCATATAAATGTCAAGGTTACTCTGAGCAGCTGCATGAGTCTGGACTGTAGTCGTCATACAAGGTACACACATGTGAGGACCCGGATGCAACAAACGGGAACCGTTGCAAATCGCTCAAGACCTGTGGCGCTGCGTGTGGTGGTACACCAGGATGACAATCAGGTTATGTCATCTCCGCAATGAATTTGCGACTGCAACCTCGATGATCTGACAGTTGTTAAGGGGTAGAGTGTCAGCGCAGACCGCCAAAACCGACTGCGCTCAGCAGATATCCGAGCTAGACGACCACACGCAGGAGCTATCCTGACGCAATTGCTCAACGTTTACGATGGGCTGCAGACATGCCGGGGTGGGCTTCGTGGTTCTTCATGCATTTGTTTTCAAAAAATATGCTGCTGCAATCCACATTTCATCATCAGCATGGTTGATAGTAATCTGATAAAAACTTATTTTCATAATATAAAAATTAGGTTCATACATACATTTATATTCATACCCGGAATCCACACAGCTGTCATAATGATACAAATGAGTGAATGGCAGGCGATCAGGCGTTGATGCTGCTTTTAAGAAATTCCAGCCATATCGCAGAGACAGAGCTCAGGTCATTGTCCTCCAACATTGTACCATTCTAAAGCATTGAAATCAGCCATCGGCGCCACATTTCACAAAGTCCACTTGGACTACATGGGAAATGTAAAGTATCATAAGCAAACAAAAGACTTCAAGAGCAATGATAGGAAATACCTTCTAATCAAGAACATTGTTTACATACGGTATCATTGCTCCTCATCACTTCATTTTTTGGAATGTACCAGTGTCTAATCTAAACAAAGTATCCTCCCCCCCATCCCCCACCACCATGTGTACCCCACACCCACACCCACACCCACATACACTCACACCTACACCCACCCACGCCTCACATACATATCATTATATTCTACGTTTCTTATTTTCAGATTTTCTTACGGAACTCTACAATGGCAGAAGTTATGTTAAAAATGAACGACGGATAATGTTAATAGGCAAAACAGGATCGGGAAAAAAGTGCAACCGCCAATACCATTCTTGGAAATAATGAATTTGAATCAAAATCAGTCGGTGAATCAGTCACATCAAAGTGTCAGTTTGCCAAAGTCGAGACTGACAAAAGGTCAGTTCTATTGGTCGACACACCAGGGATGTTTGATACAAATGTTCCAAATGATAACACGTCGAAGGAGATCATGAAATGCGTAGCTCTTGCTTCCCCTGGCATCCATGCTGTCATCTTGGTTATCAGGATTGGGAGACATACAAAAGAAGAACAGAAAACAGTTAAACTGTTTAAGGAAAACTTTGGAGACCAGCTGACAAAATACATGATGATCATCTTTACCGGGAAAGACGACCTCGAAAACGATGGGATCTCACAAGAAGCATTTGTGAAAGGTAGTCCACCTTCACTTCAGGCGCTTATCTCTGAATGCGGAGAAAGAGTTCACTATTTAAACAACAGGTCTAGCAAAGAACAGAAGGACGTGTTTAGAAGGGAGCTGGTAGGTGCCATTGACACAATGGTGGAGGAAAATGGTGGAAGGTGTTACGTTACCGAACGATTTCAGAGAGCTGAGGCTATGATGAAGAAGAGAGAAATCGAACTGAAGAAACGGTTTGCAGAGAAAAGTAAACCAGAAAGAGAAAAGATACAGCAACAGTTACAAAGATTGTTCCATAAAGACAACCCGATGCTCGTAAAGATGACAAAGACAATCACAGGAGACGCCAGAGACGCTGCGCAGAAGACTCTAGAAGCGCAAGTGAAGAGATATACGGAACTGGAGCTCAAGTTTGAACAAGTCAAAGCTGACAAGGACAAGCAACTGAGAGACAAAGAGGATGAGTTAAAGAAGCTTAAGGAAGAAAATGAACAACTGCTGGAAGCAGAACAACAGAAGTTGCATGAGGAGAAGCTGAAGGTTGAAGAGGCGAAAAGGTTAAAGAAGGAGATAGACGAGGTAGAAATGAAGGATGAAGAAGAGGCAAGATTCCAAGCAAGGAAGGAAATTGAGCAGGAAAAAAGATTCTTTGATACCTTCCGAGGGGTTTGGAATAAAGTAAAAAGCATGTTCACTAGTCTAGCCAAGAAATAAGGCTCAATTCTTCATGGTCCAGTCATCGTAGCACCTCGTCTACTCAACACTGGCCAGCAATGTGCCGATCTGCTTGAGTTCTTAGAGTTTGAGCTCGCTGGAGAATGTGGTGTCTGCAAATTTTCTTCTCTTTCATATTAATCCTATGCGCTTATAATAACATATATTGGTTTGGTACATGATATATCCCATGTATCTGCAGGCAAAGTCGCAAGTTGAAAGTGTTTTAGAAAGTATGATTTTCATGCAATAGCGGTATTAACTAGTAATCTCAGCCAGTTACGTAATATTATACCTCATTGTACGTATCTGCTTGGGATGAATGTAATTGTTTAACAGTACTTATGAGTAGCGTACCTTCATGTCTGTATTGCGATACCTATATCTCAAATATTGGTTTAGTTCTTAGTTTGCCATTCTTATTTTCAAAACTTTCCAAGAGATTTATCTCTTTTGCGAACTTTCACTGCTAGCTAGCCGTGGTTGTCTGCTCCAAAGTTCGCACTTATGGTTTGAACCGCTCATTGCTACCCAGTGCATTCATTGCCAGGAATTGTTAAACATGACGACGTGCTCTACTGTTGTCTGGTCAGTTTCCCTATTTTTATATTATTAGATAAATTGGATCATCTACTTAATTTCTGCACTGATATGATTGGCAAGGGTATTAAAGTACCCCCGTTCCCCCTGACAGTAATCTGTGAATAACCAATTTTCTTAGAATAAACTTGCCTACTTTCCACTTTTAGAAGTCAAGACTTCCTGAAGGTAAAATACCTCATTAATCTGAAAGTCATGTAGTCCTTTTTTTGCATCCAATTTATATATTTTAGTAAGAGGTCCATACTGCCTATATCTCCCCATCTAGCCTAGTCTAGCGCATTCACTGATTAGAGTTATTCGAAACCATTGCTTCCCTGGATCATCGGCTCTCAATGTGTCTTATTGATTGTCCTGTCAGCATGTTGGTTAAGATGTCTTATGTAATTGGTTTGCGTACGGTTGTCAGTTAATAAGCTGAGCATATTTATTCTTTTTTTTTATTTATCAGTTATCTTTTCCAGTGTCAGTTGGGTTCTAGCTACTTTAGATTTCTCTCATTGTTTGTATCTAGCTGATAATAATAAAACTATCAATGTCATCCACGTTATCTGTCATTTCTGTATTTACTGCTTAAGTAAAAGAAAGCTTCAGATAACGCCGATCCTGTTGATCTTATAGCAGTGAGTCTGTCCACCCGGTCCCGTTAGTCGCCTTTCTCGACACGCATGGGTTGCTAAAGACCAATTCTAACCCGGATCTTTCGGAACAGGTGTTTGGTTATGACACAAATGTTGGCAGAATGCCCGAAATGTCGTCAAGGGTATGACGCTAGCACATCATTTAACAATCAGGGGAAATCTGGGATTCGAACTCAAGATTTTTTGCACACACCTGGGAGACATAATTCATAGCCGTGTCTCAAATGAATACACGTAGTCAAAGCTACGGGAGATTCCATTTTGCATGTAGCAGTTCTGTTCCGTAGCCGGCATGAAGGGACTTTTCAATTCTGATTCTAATTCATGTCTTGAAATGTCACTTTCCGGTGGTGATTCTTAAAGGCGAAGTTCTGAAATTTCGATAATTAAACTGCCATTTGTCACAAAGTGGGCGGGCGAGAAGGATTTTATGTCGTTTTTAAAGGTGTTGCAAAATACTCTTAAAAAGTAGGGGGACCTGAACTTTCAATATGGATAGGAAGTATACATCCGCTCAAAAGTTAAGCACCACCATAATTTTCTGTCATAGTTGAGATGAACATTAGTGTTAAACAATATTTGCCACATTAAGTGCAGTAAAAATGTGAAATCTGTATTTATACGACAGTTAAAGGGTAATACAGATGAAAAATGAAGATATTTCACATTTATTAGCAACATTCCAATGGTGGTATTTTTTGACAAATTCCGTAGCGTAGAAAGTATGCCCCTGTACAATAACCAGTCAACTGTTCAAAAGCACAAAGGTGATGAAACGACTTGCAAACCATCTGTCCTTGTACGCACACATAGGTGTCAGTATCGGGTATAACCTCCTCTCACACGGATACAAGTTTCAACAGGACTACTCATGATGGAAATCAGTCTTCTGATTTGCATCTAAGGAATATTGTTCCACTCCCCTTAGAGTGTCTGTGCAATTTCTGCAAGAGTTTGAACACCAGGGACCCTAGCTCGCACCTTGCGGCCTAAAATGTCCCATATATGTTCAGTGGGATTCAGATCGGGACTTCTTGCAGGCCAAGGAAGAGTGGCGTTACTTTGAAGATAATCCCCTTACTGTATGGATCTGTGGGGCCGGGCATTATCATCCATAAATATTGGACGGTTTACAAGCGGGTGATTGTCAAAATGAAGCACGACTTCTCTTTCAAGGATCTAATTTTGGTACCATTGAGGTTGCCTTGGACTTGGGCAAGATCAAGCTTACAAGCTTAAGAACAGCAGCCCCAGACCATCACAGATCCACCAACGAATGGAATTACTGGCTGGATGTTGTGTTGATGGTAGGTAGTTCCTCGTGGACACCATATCCGGGCTCTCGCATTAACCGCGTTTAGTAAAAACCGTCCTGTGCTTTCGTATCAGTTGATTAATTAGCTTATGGTTAACATTGAGTTGCCTCCCAATTTCCCTATATGACATACCTGTATTATGGATACCAATGACTTGGCACCGTTCACTGTCACTAATTCGTCGTCTAGGCATAGTTAGACAGTAGACAAAAATCGAGTTCAGATTGTAATGACGCTACGAAACGACAAATGACAACTTGGATTTTTTCATGCATAGGGTTACCATGTATCATCAACTGTCACATGGCACATTCATAACGTACCCATGCGTTTTAGCATGTTACCTCTTTATAACATAACCTCGTTTTAAACTGTATTTACAGGATTTACTCAATGTTGTATTTTGGGGTCAACTTTTAATGTTGAAGTTGGTGGTGCTTAACTTTTGAGCGGGTGTTTATAAGCCGAAACAAGTTTTTCAATGAACGCACAACCATTACTCTTGATCACCACCCTTAAATACAACACATGGGATACACTTGCACAACGCAGTAGCCCCATACACGTTCACGGGGTGCCATTATTAATTTTGGTGGTTTTCAAGAAGGTCGATAAATCACCGTGGACCATTAATTTGAACAATCATCTTGCATCTTTTAATCACACAGTTGTTGATGTTTGGTGTTAGGTGGAATCGCACACTACTCATCAGTCAGCTTTCAAGAACGATTACTGTTACAATACGAACAACTTTGGTCAAAGGAAGAGCAACTGGTGAAGCACTCTCAAAACAGTCATTATTATCATATCAACATTGGATGACTCCGATATACGAGGGGCGTTCATTAAAGATTTCCCCTGACCCGCTTGCAGTGGACTTAGTGGAATGAAACTTGGCACAGTTATTAGTCCTTCTCTACATAGCAACCACCAAGAGTTACACACTTCTCCCGTTGTTTTATGCAACTGTTAAGACCTTGCTTAAAAACGTCAGTAGGTTGCGTATCAAACCATGACGTGACTTCCGAAATCAGTGTGTCAATCATCTGAGAAGCGTGTTCCCTTAAAAAATGACTTCACAGATGGAAATATATGGAAGTCAGATGGTGCATGGTGTGTGATAAATCTGTCACAAAAGTTTGCCTGGTTTTCTTGGCACATGTCCAAAAGAGTCTTTGAGCAACTGACTCGTTCCTGCTTCTGACAAAGTGTGAGCAGTCTGAGAATCCATCGTGCAGACACCTTATGCATATGAAAATTATCATGAATGATGTTTTCCACAGACCCTACATTGAACTTGACATCATTTGCTAACTGGCGAACAGTTTTACGGCGGTCTTCCAAAATGACAGTCTCCACTTGACGGACAGTGTCTTCATCAATGGCTGAATGAGGTCGACCAGGAATGGAGCAGTTTCCGATGCCAGTGTTTAACTACGTCATACGATGGGGCATCCACCCCATAAGTATCTTTCATTTCATCAAAGATCTCTTTTGGCGTGCTACCTTTCAAGTACAAAAACATGATCAATGCTCGACCCTCAACTGGCTCCATTGTCACACCTTACTTCAATGTAACGCTTGTCAAAGAAATAGCTTTAATAGTTCAAGGCTGACAATTTCTACATAACCCATACACATATGTGCCATTACTCACATGAAGTTTCAGCCACATGTGACAACCAGAAGTGGGTCAGGGGAAATCTCACAATTTTCTCAATCGAAACGGAAAAGGTTCCCCTACATTTTTAAGAATATATAGATCAGTGTGGTGGAAGGAGGCCCATTCAGAGGCGGCGGGACCATGACCTCGGTTAAGCACGTGATGTAGCTGTAAATGTCCCGTTTTATCACGTGCAGAGAACAGTGAAACTGAGAAGAGGTGTAACCCGTTCAGTGATATGGTCTGGGCAAGTCTTTCACACATGACGATGGTCTACAGACATCAAGCGATGCAGTATTTTGCAATTCTAGATCATTCGTCACCACTCGCCTCTTTCTGTGACTTCCAAGAAGACTCGTCCTCTTCTCGACGAATGTTAAGGGCGGGAATACAACAAACCAATCGGAATGCGCGAAAGGATCTAGCTACTTTGATAAATGTAACATATGTTATATTTGGGATGACACTTTCTTAGTGAAGTACAAACTCTCGTATTTTCTTTTATTTATTTATTGGGTTAAGTCCCATCCGGGATTCGATCCCACACCCTGAGAGTCAGGCACCTTATCGCCAGCACACAAAGTCAGCCGACTAACCCGCTCAGCCACCGCGACTTCCACACGAATGGAAGTCGAACAACTTCCACAAGAATTAAAGTCGGACAACTGGTAGTCTAGACTGCGGACTTTGTGTGCCCCCCTGATAAGTGTAAATTAGCACGGCTCCCACGGCCGAAAGCTATGATTGCACAATGCCATTTAGAGAGTGGCCAAATATATT